AATAAGCACTTATTAAACATGGTGCCAGGCATGGTGCTAAGTGCCGATGATACAATGAAAGGCCAATGCAGTGCCTGCCCTCAGGGGGCTTACAGTCTAATGGGGGGAGACAACTACTCTTACATGATATCTCCTGGGTTGGATAGAAGGTAATCTCAGAGGGGAAGGCACTAGCAGCTGGAGGGACCAGGAAAGGCCTCCTGCAGAGGCTTAGTCTTGAAGGAAAACTGAGAGGTGGAATTGAGAGGGATGGCATCGCAAGTGTAGGAGGTGAGCGGTGCAAAGGCTTAGAGTCGGGACACGGCATGTCGTGTGAGAATCAGCAAACAGGCCAACGTCATTGAGCCAGAGAGCGTTTGGGGAAGAGTCCTGTATTAAAAGACTGGTAGGAGAGGCAGGAGCCAGGTGGAGAAGGGCTTTGGATGCCAAGCAGCGGATGAGAACCCCAGAAAGGCACTTGACCCTCGCCTGGCCCTTCCTTCTTCTGCAGCCTGGCTGGCTGGTCTCTGCTGTTTTCCCTCACCCTGGTACTGTACCAGGCAGTTTGCAAATACTGTTTCAATGTGAATTATTGTTGGTATTATTGTCATTCTCCCCTTTGCCACCATCCAGGGTCAGGGAGCTGACCGCTCCTCTGATTAGAGCATGACCCCGTCTCTGCTGTCTTTTTCTCTCATTTCATTTTCTCACAATTTAAACCATTTCCTCTGCAGCCAGCCCATCCCAGGGGCCTGCGCTGGTTGCAGGTGCTTTGAATTCTCCATTTCATTTTGTCTCTCTGGACTGGGTGTCTCCCTGAATGCGGGTGGAAGATGTTCTATATGTCATCGCCTGTGGACAGCGACAGTCTGGGGCCGCCATTTTTATGTTCAGGAAGAGATGTCTGGTGTCTGTAGAGGGATGTGATCATCCCACTTCTCTCTACACTGGTCAGTCCGCATCTAGAAAGCCGCGTCTGGTTCTGGGCATTCTATTTTACGAGGGACAGTGGTGAGGGTGAGGGTGACTAGGGTGATGAGGGATCACAGATTTGCCCTGGAAAGCCCCTTAGATAGACTCTGACCCTCTCATTTAGCCAGGTTCCAGAAAGGCGGAGTCACTCTCAAAGGGTCACCGGGGGATGAGAACCAAGGGTCAAACCCAAGCGATCAGACTCCAAAGCCTGCCCTCCTACCTCTGCGCCATGTTGGCCTCATGGTCAGGAAGCCCTGGTTATGAGGGCATGGTCAGCCCACAGAACAGAAGGCTTTGGAGGAACACGAGACACATCTTCAGAGTTGTTGCAGAAACTCATGGAAGGAAGATTCAACTGGTTTTGTGTGGCCAGAGGTGGTGGAAGGAGGGGTGAGGTGGCAGTTGGAAAAAAGCAGATTTTGGCTCAGTGTAAGAAGAAGGCCCTGGTAGTTTGAGAGGGAAGACCACAAGGTGGGCTGCCTTGGAAGGCTGGGAGTACTTCACCCATGGAGGAGCGTCTGCAGAAACTGACTCCCGCCCTGTTGGGCACATAATGTTCCAGTGACTGGAACAGAATTTCCCAGAGCTTTCTTCTGACCCTGGGGTTCTGGGGTTCACGTTAGCTCCTGGAGGGCAGCGCTGAAGGATTACAGAGCTCTGGTCCTGTTTTCTCTCATCTCTTAGAATGAACCTGTTGGACTATAGGACTTTGGAGCCAGGAAGTTCTTGGTTGAAATCCAGCCTCAGTCACTCCTTAGCAGTGTGACCTTGGAGTGAGTCTTTTGAGCTCTCTGAGCCTCAGTTTCTTTATCTGCAGAATGGGGGTGAGGGTAGCTACATCACCCCACACAGTGACCTTCAGCATCAAAAGAGATAACAGTTATAAAGTTCTCCACATCCCTTCAGGCAGGAGCAAATGTGATTGATGATAGTGGTGGTGGGGCTCCCTGGTCACTTTGCCTCCAGATACCACATTTTAGTGATGACATTGATAACTACAGACCGGATGGGGAAGGCACCAGAGCTTAGGCCACGTGGGGATCTGTTAAAGGAGCTGGAGATGTTTGTCCTGGAGGAGAGAGGGCACCATCTTTACGTATTGGAAGAGGGGTTGACCAGCCTTGTTCTGGTTGGCCACAGTGGGCTGAATAAGGAACCATGGGTAGAACTGTGGAAAGAAAGATGTTTCCTGAGATGTCAGGAGCAAACTTCTTCCCAATGAGAGCTGTCCAAAGGGGAAGAGAGAACGGCTCCCCTTCATGGGCCATCAGTCATGCAGCAAAGACTGGCTGAGTCCTTGTTGCATATATATGGGGGAGAGAGGACTTTTTGCAATGTGTGATCTATTCTAGGTGCCTGCAGATCCTTTGCAGCTCTGGGATTGTGTGATTCTCTGTCTTGAGCATAATGGGGTTACAGATTAGACCAGTATTTATATATAGATGGGCGGCTCTGTGTAAGGGGACTCCCTTTACTAATGTGGGTCAGCACCTTCCTCTACAACTTAGGTTGGGGTGGACACTCTGGAACATGACTGAAACCAGATAAAAATGTAATTGGGGAGTATTAAACAGAATAAAAATACAATGGATAGATAATGTGAATTTGTGGTTTTCTGAGTCTGGATGCCCCCTGCAGGGATACTTCTGGAAGGTTTAGGGGCTTGGTTTCTATTTGAGTTTGATCTCTAAGAGGCTAGGTGATTTGCCCAGGGCTGCTGCACAGCCAGGCTAGACTCAAACCCAGGTCTGACTGACTTCTCTGTCCACTGTGCTGTGTCACCTTTCCCATAGTGGGTATTTAAGAAATGATTTTAGAGGCAGCTAGGTGGCGCAGTGGATAGAGCACCAGCCCTGGAGTCAGGAGGACCTGAGTTCAAATCTGGTCTCAGACCAGACATTTGATACTTACTAGCTGTGTGACCCTGGGCAAGTCACTTAACCCCAATTGCCTTGCCAAAAAAAAAAAAAAAGAAATGATTTTAAAATTCAGTTTTGTTTTAGTTTCAGTTCTAAATTCTTTCCCTCCCTTTCCCTTCCCCACCCATTAAGAACCCATTACAAATACATCTAGTCATACAAAGCTAGTTCCCACAGTAGCCATGTTTCCACCCTCCCCCCAAAAAAAGAAAAGCAAGAAAAAAGCAAGAAAAAGAAAGTTAAGAAAATCTGTTTCCTTCTGTCCCTCAATCCATCAGCACGTGCGCGCGCTCTCTCTCTCTCTGGAGGGAGCAGCATGTTTTATGAGTCTTTTGGAATGTGTGTGTGGGGGGTCATTGTGTGGGGCAGAGTTCCTAGGTTTTTCCACAGTTAATTATCCCTGTTTATGTCTAAGCTGCCCTTCTAGTTCTGGTCACATCTCTCTGCATCAGTTCATATGACTCTTCCTGGGAGTCTCTGAAACTGCCCTCAGCTTCACATTCTTCGCCATCACAAAAAGAGCAGCTCTTAGTATTTTTGTGCAGTTGGGTCCTTTTCCTCACTCTTTGATCTCTTTGGAGAGCAGCGCCAGCAGCGGCATCACTGGGTCGAAGGTGTGCCCGCTTTAATAGCTTTTTGGGCAGAGCTCCAAACTGCTTTCCAGAGTGGTCAGGCCCCTTTAATAAATGTTTGTTGTTGCTTTTATTGTTTTTAAAATGCTTATTGTTTATTGAATTGGTGTGGGCTGTGGCCAGGTCCACAAAGCACCTAAGCAGCTGGTCACATCTGTTACCGATTCTGTCGAACATCTGGATATTTTGTCCCATGATAGACAGCTCAGCTTCAGATTTACATTGCCACAGCATTGATTGGATGCGTTGGGATGTGGACATTGCATCTGGGCTGTCTTGTCTGAGACTGACAGCTCCAACCTGGAGGAGCCAGCAGATTTTAGGGGAAAGAAATCAGGCCAAGTATTTGAGGGGGGAGGTGTCAGGCTGAGCTTCAGACAGAGGAGCTGGAGGACCAGGCTCTGAGCTCCCTTCTCCTCATAACTCGCTGACTTTGGGCAAGATGCTTCCCATGTCTGAGGCTCAGTTTCCATGTCTGTAAAATGAGGAAATTGGATTAGATATCCTCTAGGGGATGCCACCTCTGACAGTGTCTGTTCTAAGACCCCTCCCAGCCCTGACATCCCCTGTTCTAAGGCCCCTCCCAGCCCTGACATTTCCTATT